GGGGAGGGAGATTGAGGGTTTTTGTACTGTAGTTTCAAACTGAAATTACTCCAATATATTTTATATCTGTATAACTGTATTTATGGTTGGAAGGGGATTTCTTATTCCTGTGAAATATGACATCGTTAAAGCACTAGGAACATTAGCAGATCAGCACTTTCAGAGTTTTCCACTTGTGATCAGTACAGATCTGGTTATCTAGTATGTGAAGTGAATTTGGTGCTTTTAACCCTATAGCAGAAAACTTACTGATATGTTAGTTTCTTGTGAGCCTTAAATTATTAAATATTGTAGATATACTTCTTTATACATAATTTTATTGATTACCTTACTCTTTCAGAATTTCTAAGTAATTCAGTCCTGTGCTTACTGTCCCCACTCAAAAAAATGTATGTGCAGCTTTTTTTTTTTTTTTGTAGTTTTACAGTTTTATAGCTTTGTTATATTTTTGAGACCGAAAGAAAAAAAAATACTTTCTGCTGTTACTGGTTTTGATCCAAGTGCACAACAGATCAAAAACATGAGGGAGTAGATAGATACAAGAAGAAAGTAGAATATGAGTGCAATATCTGCAAAACTATTTTCATTGTACACTCCAGATTACTTTGGCATGTGTATCAGTCACCTTTATGTATCCATACCATTTGTGTACACAGTTCACTGTTTTTAATTATCATAGGATGGAAATGGACGGCAGTTGAAGAGCCTGACATGGCATGCCGTGCTACTTAAATAACCATTGCCTGGCTTATATCTTGGACTTGGACAGAAAGCATCACCTTTCATCAAAACACACCATGTTTTCTTTTATTTCCAAACAAAACCTTTTCAGTGCTGTGGATTTTACAGTTAAGATGTTGTTGAAAGACAAATGACACATGATATTCATCGTGATAACACAGCACTGTACAGCTTACTAGTGAAGACTTATACAAAATTGCTTCTTTACTTTAAATCAAAGAGTTATCATTTTCCTTGCAAAGGACATCTCTGCTTTCCCCTCAAACTTCTGTTTTTTTTGCTGAAGGATGCTTCATGCCTTTACCACATAGAATGGCACAGCAAGACTAGCAGAAAGAGAAGTCTTGATTGTCAGCGCTCAAGGTTTGTTTCTAACAAATTTTCTAATACGGCTAAGTAAATACAAAATCGGGATTATAATTTATGCAAGTGCCTCAGATATATGTACTGTGATAAATTTAAAGCAGCTTTGCAAAACAGCGCTTTGACGTTCTCTCGTCCAGGCACAAATTCTGCTTACCTGTCCCTTACCATGCCGTTTAACGAAAATGGCCAAATGCAGATGTTTTTCCTTCCTACGGGCATGGTAAGGGACGAGCAAGTAGTATTTTTCATGTTTGATATGAAGAACTGTCACACAGAGCTCAGCCCAAAACCCAGGGGTGAAGGGGAAGGAGGTTGAACCTGATTACGGAGAACAGGATCTTTCACATTAATTTTAGATGTTGGTTTCTTGGCTGGTTTGCTTGTTTATTTAGATGGGGAATGGTGATGTAGTATGCTGAGAAACTGTTTGCAACAGAACTGGCAGACAAAGCACCCAGTCCAGCTGCACTCCAGGCACAGGCAGATCTCCTGTTTGCTTTAGTGAGAGTTTTTGCATCCCGGTAAAGTGCAGAATTAGCCCTTTGGTGAGACTGAATCTAAAATGAAAAAAAGAAGTGGTATAATTGCCTGTTGCACGTACTGAGATCTGATCATTTTTGACCTTACAGTGAAGCTTTTTGCTCAGGCAAATAGTTTGATTTACTTCCAGGGATTAAATCCATGTGACTTGCCTGAATAAATACCAAACAATGCAGTGAGTCTTTCAGGATCAAATTTTGGTTGTCTCTTCCTCTAATTACTACCCCCACCTTCCTGACCACTTTTGTCTTCCATTGTTTGCTCTTCTAATTGCGCATTGTGCTGAGTTAGACTGTCAGCTCCTCAGAGTAATGTGTGTATGCTTGTTTAACAGTGGAACCCTGCTTATGGCCAGGGCTTCTGGACATTAATGATCTGAATTACGTAACAGTGATTATTGCAATTAGTGGAGTAACACCGGTGTAAAACTGATGCAGGTGAAAGCAGATCAGGGCTATGGGGAGCGGGTTTGAGCTGATCTTAGAAGTCCATTGCTGATGGGAAGGGGAGGCCTTGTCTTTCTCCTTCCTTTTCCGTTTTCTTCCTCCCATCGTGTGCCCTTTGTTGCTTACCCTGAACTAGTTCTGTCCTTGTGCAAGTCTGTGTGCAAGTGCTGCCTTCTTCCAGGAGCTGCTTTTGCTCACTAATCTGGCAGAAAATCCAGTGCAGCATCGACAAAGTAGATCTTTTTCTGTCTAATTAGTGAGTTGGAAAGCAAGTGAGTGACAGAGCCAGTGCAAGGAAGGGATGGGGAAGGTCAGTGGTGCAGGGAAGTGAGGAAGGAGTGGAATCCTCACCTTTCAGTGGCAGTGAACTGTTAGATTAGCATGACTGCTTGTTGAACTCTACTTCGTGTTTGCAGAAATACCAAAGGACTGGGTCTTGCAAGGTGCGGGGGGCCTTTAACTTCCCAGCGGAGCCAGTCTGCAAAATTCAGCTCTGGATTCCAGCGTATGTGCCCTGCTATAACTGAGAATAGAATTTGTCCCAGTGAAGATCAAGCTCTATGAGAGCAAAATACCCTGACTGCTGCACAGGGTTCTATGCAAGCTTGTCAAATCGTTCCTTAACCTTCAGTTTGAACATGCTGCATTTTTCCGTAATAAAACAACATAACTTTCCAATAAAAGGAAAACCAGTTATTCTCAAAATATTGTTGAAAATCTTTGTTTGGCTTGGCTTTCTAAACAGCTGTCAAGCACAGTCAAGCAAACTCGGCTTTGACACCTTCTTTACAAGGATGCATAATTTCTATTGGCTTATAAGGCAGTGAAGTGTTTGCTTTCTAATGTGAGAGGTTGCTGCCAGACCCTGAGTAATACAACCAGAAACATGCTTAGATCACAATTCAGCAAAATACTTAGCGTGGGCTCAGCTTTAAGTACATGCTTAAGTAGAGTATTGTCCAGCAGGTACTTTGGATGCACTGATCTTTGAGATTGTTACTTAAAGATGAACTACATACCCTGCTGAAACCTTAGAGCCATCAGTTCCCATTGGACTTTGGTGCAAATATTTAGGTATGTGGTACAGTTTGTGAGCCTGAAAACAAGTGGTGCTGCAGGACACTGTAATCAAACCACCAGATTCTTATTACAGAAAGAGTGCCTACTCCTGCAGCCACTACTCATCAGAGCAGTCCTCTTGACATGATCAGTTGCAAACTGAGTACTAGGATTGTCTGCATGAAGAATTGCAACTTTGGCCTGGATGAGAGTGTAATTGCACTTCCCGGCAGCAAGAACTTGTTTTTGCTGTAATTGATTTTCGTGTCAAGAAGCTTCACTGAGTTCAGTAGGCAGCATGTGTCTGTGCCTGGGATACAAACAGTGCAGGAGCCTCATAACATGCTGATGCAAATTTCTGCTGCAAAAGAATATGAGAGAAAGAGAGAATCAAATCACTCTGAGAAAGCTCCTGTGAATGTGAAACATGAAGAGAGTTCAGGCCATGTGTGCCGATTATAGGCTCATTACAAGACGGAAATCTGTCCAAACCATTATTGATGTTATGTTAGCTGACCTGGAATGAAAAGCAAGCTGAGTAAAACCTCTTTGGAATATCGAAAACCACAAGATATCAGAGCTTAATGAATAGCTAATCATTGCAAATGTAAAAAAAAAACCAACAAAACAACACTTTTTTGTAAACTCTTTTGACTAAGAGCTACATCTCGGAAGATTTCTCACCCCACACGTGCTTATATGCTGTAGTTATTAATGGCTTGTTGTTTTGTGCAGAACAGTATGTACTGAAATGCATTACCCTTCCATTTTGGGGATGCTGAAGTGAATATTCTTTTGGGTCACCAGTAATGTAAGTTTAGTTTGCTAACATTCCCATTTTACTTCTTTGTCATTCTAAAAATTGATAAAGCAGTAACTAGCAGTTATATAACACCATTCACCTCCTAGCGCTTTATGAAAAATAGTACTATGATCTTCTATGTACAAAGAAAATATATTCTATGTATAAAGAAAAGGCTCTGGAAGGGAAGACCAAGCATTTCAAAGGGGGAGAGGGCTAGGAGAGGCAGAAAAATGAGTGGGCTTGGCTGGACTGGGACATCAAAAATGTAAGGGACATAATCTCAGGGCGGGAGGGACGGGAGGAGACACAGTCACCCTGTAGTCTCCCTTCTGGTCTCTCGCATGGCTCTTGGTGGCTCTGCAGGCAAGGGCTGTATGCCAGCATCTGTGCACTGTGACCCATCTGGTGGGGTCACTGAACACAGGGGGAGTTAATGCTGCTTTGAGCAGCACGAGCAAATCCTTTTGTGTGCTCTTTTTATTTGGACTCCGTAAGGAGAAAATGGCACTTCTGCTGGCTGTTCTCTGGCCTCTCGTGTTGCAAACACCACTGTTCGGGTGTTGGTGGTGATGGGGGCTCTTGATTCACAGCACACTGAGCACCATGCTGAAGTAGCTTCCCTTCTCCACGCACTGCCGTTCATCTCTAAT